TAATTTTAAATTTTATTTTAAAAGTGAAGAGACACACTTTCATGTAATCATTTGATTATGTAATTTAGCTTGAATAAAATGGATTAAGTGAATTCATTAATTCCTATTCACTTACACATATACAGAGCCAATTCCTATGCCCATGTGCAGGCTCCTATCATGAACAACAGTTTTAGGAAGACAGCCTATAAGCATCAAAACTTGGCTGGGCACGGTAGCTCACGGCTGTAATCCAAGCACTTTGGAGGCCAAAGCAGGTGGATCACCTGAGGTTGGGAGTTCAAGACCAGCCTGACCAACACGGTGAAACCCCGTCTTAAAAAACAAAGAACAAAAAACAAAGCTATAAGCGTCAAAACTTATCAAGTTATATTTGTGGTCAGCCTTATAGGGATAATTATTAGTAGGTTTTATTTTTGATAAAATCTGTATGTTTTAATAGCAATTATATTCATAAAAAGGCAGACATGGGAAAATTAAAACCTGCAAAGACGGTGGAAAACATTATTTGTATTACAAACATTCTTAGGTTGACAAAACAGTAGATGCCAGCTTTGCTTAAAATGTGGAGCTCTGATCCATGTAACCTGCGCTTTATTTTACAAACTTCTTCAGAAACAGCATTATTACTAAAAAAAAAAGGTGCGAGTAACTGGTCAGAGATTGCAACTACGGTCAGAGGATGGAAAACGTCTGGAATCAGAAGCCCATGAGTTTGAGCTCCGACTGTGCATGAGCTGCTTCGGATGGTCCAAGCCGTTTGTTCTCTCTGAGACTCAGTTTTTTTCCCTCTAGACGGAGGAACGTGACACGTCTCATGAGCTGTTTTGGGAGTTAGTGAGGTAGTGCATGTGATCTTGATCTGCAGTGTGCTATTCAGTTAAAGTAACTGTTATGGACTGAATCTGTTGCCCTGAAATTTAGATGTGGAAACCCGGTGTGGGATTTGGGGACGGAGCCTGTGGGAGGTGATTAGGGTTCGATGGGGCCTGATGAGATCAGTCCCTTCATAAGAACAGATGCCAAGGGTTTGCTCCGTCTCCCCCCGTGTGAGGATACAGGGAGGAGGCAGCCACCTGCAAGCCAGGAAAAGAGCCCTCCCCAGAACCTGAGCATGCTCGCACCCTGATCTCAAACTTCCAGCCTCCAAAAGTGTGAGGAAACACATTTTCTGTCAGTTTAAACTGGCTGGTCTGTGGTATTTTGTTATGGTAGCCTCGGTCAACTAACACATTATTATAGCACAGATCCTTAGTTCATTCTCAAACATCTACACCAAGAACTACACGTCTCAGACCGAGAACTCCAGTTGGGTGCGACGAATGCAGGACTGCTCTTGTCCACAAGGAACACAGAATCTAGTTGGAGAAATGGCAGAAAGGTAGATACTTATTCAGAAACTGAGTGCAATGACTAAAATATCTACAAAACATTCTAGGCTGCCTGTAACTCAACTCTATTCCTAGAAGGCATTTTCCTAGAAGAGATTAGGAAATAACTGAGTTGAACCTCCTTAAAACAAGAGTGGGCGTGACTGAAGAGCATTAAGTGATGGGCGTAATCATGGAGTAAGATTGTATGATATCAGGAGTATGAGGTCAGCAGCAGGTTAGCAGGTTGGCACTGGCTTTCAGGCATAAGAAAAACCAGAGACACAGGGAATAGTCATATTGATTATGGGAAGCCATTGCCACACTAAAGCCAACAGGATGATTTTCCGCAAGGGAATCAGGGAGTCAGACCCAGGTTTTAGGTAGCTCACGCTGGTGCTTAGATGGAGGTTAGGTTTGCTGATGGGCCTGGATGTAGACAGAAAAGTTGGAAGACAGTTTTAGTAGGTCTTCATTCATTCATTCATCTATTTCATTTATTCAACAAATATTTTTTAAGCACCCATCATGTTTCAGGTGTCTTCTTGACAACTGGAATACAGGCAATAAGACACATGAGGTCCCTGTCCCATGAATCTCTGTGTTAGATGCTCTCTCCAGGGAAAAGTGGTCAGCTAGCAAGAAAATAGGTCCAATAATTTCAGTGAGTGGTAAGTGTCATGATAAAAAATAAAGTTGAATGAGAAAACTCAATTGGAGTTTATTTTAGGTACAAAGTACAAATAAATTCATTTTGAAGAGTTGATGTTCAAGCACAGAATTCAAGAATTATCTGGAAAACCTTCGAGTTAAAGAAAATGTTCTCAGCAGAAGGAGCAGCAAGTGTTTTGCATGGGAAGGAACAAGAAGACCGTGCTGAGGAAAGGAAATCAGGGACGGACTGGGAGGGATTTCCCAGAGGTGACCTGGATCCTTCACTTCCCACAATAATGCAATCGGCCTCTTTTGCATTGCTTAACCCTTCTGATTATTAAAATAGACAGATAAAGAAAATTACGTAAAGCAAAAGTATACTTTGATAAATTATTATAAAGCATATACCCTTGTGGCTACTGCTCAAATCAAGACAGGGAATTTCACTGCCTCTCCCTCATACACTCCCCACGCTCTTGAATGTATTAATTACCTTCTCTATTTTTAGAGCAATCTCTTCTTGGTGTTTAGTTAGAGTTTTATCCCTGGAGGAAGGATTTCTAAACAGTACGTTTTAGTTTTGTCAGTTCTGGCTTTAAAATGGCTATTAATCTCTAAATAGTCTATTTTCATCCCTTCCTCCCTTACAGTTTTGTGATGAATCCTGGTATTTGATGTTAATGGCATCCCATGGCAAGGTTTCACATCCCTCTTTTCCCTGCAGTTTCTGTGAAGCTGGTATTTAGAGAGAATTCGTCAGATTCATGGCGTGTTTGTTTCCTTGCTTTGCCTTGTTTGTTTTTTTCTGCAAGACTCACGGTGGTGGTATTTTCTTTCTTTCTTTTTCTTCTGATACTTGCAGTGAATGCTGCTTGATGCCTGTACCTAGGAGTTCATTAGGAGTTGGAAAATAATATTTTAACATTTTTTTAAATTTATGACTATAAACAGGCATTTCTTTGCATCTACTGTCAGGCGTCCCCAAACTACGGCCCGCGGGCCACATGCAGCCCCTGAGGCCATTTATCCGGCCCCCCGCCACACTTCAGGAAGGGGCACCTCTTTCATTGGTGGTCAGTGAGAGGAGCACAGTATGTGGCGGCCCTCCAATAGTCTGAGGGACAGTGAACTGGCCCCCTCTGTAAAAAGTTTGGGGACGCCTGGTTTAGATAACCAGTGGTACTGTGCATACAGGAAAGGCATAATAAATCTTTGATTCTTTTTTTTTTTTTTTTTTTTTTTTTTTAGAGATAGGTATACTAGTGTAAACAGAATGTTTACAAAGTTAATCGAGTAGTCACCCAGGTCAGAGTACTAAAATTTTTTTTTTTTTTTTTGAGAAAAAGAATAATAAGAAAAAGAATAAAGAAGAGGAAGAAAGAGAAAGAGAAAGAGGGAGAGAGAATGGGGGTACTGCTTTGTTGCCCGGGCTAGAATGCAGTCTAAATATGGGTATGCCTATAATTGTCCTTAATGATGGAGACATAAAAGAAAATGAGGGAAGAGAATAACAAACAAGGAGCCAACCAACATTTCGTTTAAACTTCTAAGTTGATATGATGTGGTACTGATAAGAGTGTATATTTTGTGTATTTAAAGTGGAGAGTTCTATAAATGTTAATTACGTTTACTTGTTCCAGATCTGAGTTCAAGTCCTGGATATCGTTGTTAATTTTCTGTCTCATTGATATGTCTAATATTAATGTTGAAGTCTCCCACTATTATTATGTGGGAGTCTAAGTCTCTTTATAAGTCTTGTATGTCTGGGTATTCCTGTATTGGGTGAGTATATATTTAGGACCTTTAACTCTTCTTCTTGTTGCGTTGATTCTTTTATCATTATATAATGTCCTTCTTTGATTCTTTTGATCTTTGTTGCTTTAAAGACTATTTTATCAGAGGCAAAAATTGTAACTTCTGCTTTTTATTTATTTATTTTTGCTCTCTGGTTGGTTGGTAAGTCTCTCTCCATCCCTTGTTTTGAGTCTTTGTGTATCCTTGAATGTGAGATGGGTCTGGATGCAGCATACCGATGGGTTTTAGTTTTTTGTCCAAATTGTCTGTCTGTCTTTGAATTGGGGAATTTAGTCAATTTAAATTTAGAATTAATAATGGTATATGTGAGTTTAATACTGTCATTTAATATTAGCTGGCTATTTTGCCCATTAGTTGATGTAAATTCTTCATTATATTGATGTTCTTTACTTTTTGGTATTTTTTAGAAAGGCTGATACTGTTTGTTCCTTCCTATGTGTAGTGGTTCTTTCAGAAGCTCTTGTAAAGCAGGCCTGGTGATGATGAAATCTCTGAGTGCTTGCTTGTTCACAAAAAACTTTATTTTTCCTTCACTTATGAAGCTTAGTTTGGCTGGATGTGAAATTCTTGGTTGAAAGTTCTTTTCTTTAAGGATGTTGAATATTGGTCCCCAATCTCTTCTGGCTTGTAGGGTTTCTGCTGAGAGATCTGCTGTAAGTCTGATAGGCTTCCCTTTGTGGGTAACCTGACCTTTCTCTCTGACTGCCCTTAGTATTTTCTCCTTCATTTTAACCCTGGTGAATCTGACGATTATGTGCCTTGGAGTTGCTCTTCTTGAGGAATATCTTTGTGGTGTTCTCTGTATTACCTGGAGTTGAATATTATCCTGCCTTACTAAGTTGGGAAAATTTTCCTGAATAATATCCTGAAGCGTATTTTCCAGCTTGGATTCATTCTCTTCATCACATTCAGGTACACCTATCAAGCGTAGATTAGGTCTTTTCACATAGTCCCATATTTCTTGGAGACTTTGCTCATTCCTTTTTATCCTTTTTTCTCTAATCTTGTCTTCTCGTTTTATTTCATTGAGTTGGTCTTCGACCTCTGATATCCTTTCTTCTGCTTGATCAATTCGGCTGTTAAAACTTGTGCATACTTCACGTAGTTCTCGTATTGTGTTTTTCAGCTCCATCAATTCACTTATTTTCCTCTCTAAATTTT